CCCCCCCCGCCCCCAACGGCCGGCTAGTTCCTCCGCGACAATGCCATCTACCGCGCAAGCCAAAACCTCCGCGAAACCAACATCTCCACCAAGGCCATGTCCGGGGGCGACCTCTTCGCCTGCGACACATACTCCTTCGGCGTGGTCCTCTGGCAGCTGGTGTCCAAGACCCGGCCCTGGTCCGGTGCGCCCCGACGCGTCCCATTCATTCCCTGCTCGACCTCGCCCTCCCGCCCCCCCCCCTTGCCCGGGGCTCACGCCCGCTGACCACCGCCGCCCCCTCGTCCGCCCGGCTGCCCGCAGGCCTCGCCACCCTCGAGCTGATCGAGCGCGTGGTGGCCGGCGACCGGCCGGACACCTCGGCCGAGGCCATCCGCCTGCCGGCCACCTCGCCGGCCGTGCGCACACTCCTCGACGTGGCGGCCGCCTGCTGGGACCACGACCCTGCCGAGCGCCCGACCATGGCCAGCGCCCAGCAGCGGCTGTCCCCCCTGAGCCCGGCCAACTGAGAGCCCCCCGGGCCCCTCCGGCCCGCCGCGCTGCCCTCCTGCGGCGTCCGGCCGGCTGCCCCGGGGGCCGCGCCTCGCCGGCCTCCCCCTCCCCCCGCACATGCTACACACACATGGCTGGGCCCGAGCGGGGGGCAGTCTCCCCCTCTCGCGCCCCGCCCCCCCCGTGCTTCCGCCCCCCGGGACAATACACAACACGCTCCAACAGTGCTTCTACCCCACAGCCTCGCCCGGGCCGCCGTTGGCAGACACCATCCCCCATGCATTGGCAGCCGGCGCTAACTCGGGCGGGCCGCGCCCGGGGCGGCTCTCTGGTATTTCCACCGCCGCCCCCGGCCCGCCTGCCGGCGCCCAGGCGCGCGGGATAAGTGCCCCTCCCCGTCCTCCCCGCAGACACCCCCTCTTCTTTTTTTTTCTCGCTCCCCCCCCCCCGCCCCGCTCCCTTTTATCACCCTTCGCCATGCAGCAGTCCGCCCCGCCGGGCGCCTTTGTCAACTCCAAGCCGGTCGACCCGCAGGAGCTGAAGGAGACCATTGCCAGGTGCGGACACATCGATGCCTCCCCCCGCCACACACACGTACATGGACATGCGCGGGCGCACGCGAGGAGGTCCCCACCCCGGGCACTGACGCTGCCCCCC